GCTCCTCCTCCATCCTTCGTCGTCTGCAAACCGTCTCAAAGCATCGGTTCGGTCCATTCTCGACGGAAATAATAAAAAAATTAAAAAAATTAATTAAATTATAAAAAATTCCAAAAATTCCAAAAATTCATAAAAATCAGAAAAATTCTCAGAAAATCCATAAATCAGAAAAACTCAGAAAACCCATAAAAATTTGCAAAATAACGAAATTGAAAAAATTAAAAAAAATTAATAAAAAGCTTTCTGGAAAATAAAAAGAGACAAATTTCGGGAAAGTAAAAAGTTTTAATAAACTTTTCCCCAAAAAAAATCAAAAATAAAAAATTCACATAATGGCTTAGAATAAATTAAAAAATTCCGAAAATTCATAAAAATTAGAAAAATTTCAGAAAAATCCCATAAAAAATTAGAAAATTAAAAAATTGCCAAAATTCATATAAATCAGAAAAATTCTCAGAAAATCCATAAAAATCAGAAAAACTCAGAAAACCCTTACATATTTGCAAAATTCCGAAATTGTAAAAATTAAAAAAATTTCATAAAAAAATTTCGGAAAAATAAAAAGAAACAGATTTAGGGAAAGTAAAAAATTTTAATAAATTTTACCCCAAAAAAATAGAAAAAAATTCACATAATGGCTTAGAATACCTGTGGCCACCCACTTTGAGTGAAATTTAAATTTTTGAGGTGCCCAAGTGGTATTTTTGAATATTCCTTAGTTTAGGGATTAAAAGGGGTTTTAAACCCCTAAAAAGGATTAGACACACCAATAAACCATGCTTATTGATTTTTTTCACTTATAACTTGTTCTTATAGTTAAATAAAAGATATAGATTTGAATGCAAAAAATTGGGAATAGAAATTTTGTGCAGTTACCAAACGCATTTCTGTTCTTTTTCTATTCCAGGAACAAAAATTTTGTGCAGTTACCAAACGCATTATTTTGCTCAGAAACTGTTCCAGGAAATAGAAATAGAAAAAATAATTTCTAAAAAAAAATTGTTCCCAGAAATAGAAACGTTACCAAACGCGCCCTAAGAATGATCATGGGCTTTGGTCGTTTAATTTAGAAGTCAGCCACAAGATTTCCTAATTTAGTTGGAAATATATTTTTATATTCAATCTTGGGCTTTGGTCTTCATGTCGCTGGCTAGGAAGTACGGACACTCTCTGGGGGTTTCCGTGTCGTGTTGGACACGTGTCGGACACTGACACTCTTCCGACACTCTTTTATTTATTTATTTATGGATTTGAATCAAATTAATTTGACTGAAATAATCATAAAAATGATCATTTTTTTATGTATATATAAAAATATAAATTAAATATATAACGTGTCCCAACGTGTCGGATTTCTCTATTTTTTGAAAAATGACGTGTCGGCAAATTGTGTCGTGTTGTGTTGTGTCGTGTCGCGTGTCAGTGCTACTTAAGTCGCTGGTAGTGGTGTGCCTTGCGTGTGCAATAGTTAGGCCCTAAAGGTACGGCTTATTCGTGAACTACACCTTGAATCAATTTGAGGGCGTTGAAGGGGTAAGATTTTGTGTAGTACTTTGTGAGATCGGGAGAGATTATTTTGCAAGTAATTGTGACGGCCAAATATCGTGTGAGCTATTGGGTAAAGTTTAGGAATTGGGAAATACTGAAAGCATTTGGGTTGACTTGAGGGTAGTTATAATTTTCATCGTATCGCTTGATTTATGGTGGAATTATGTGCTACTCTCTTCGTGGAGTAGACCGCGTAGACCGAATAACGTAAATTCAACGTCCGATTTATTTCCTTTTTTGTGTTTATTTTATTGTTCGATTGTGTATTTTTCGACACATCTTGCTCTTATAGTAAATTCAGCTTAGTCATAATACGTCTTTATAAGACGAGGTGACCAACATTCAATAATTTCTTACTTAAAAATGTTACTTTATATTAACGTACAACATTAAACTTGCGATCCAAATTTTAAATCAGATCGGATGTAATTTGTGCGAGCTTCTCTCATTTGGTTCACAGAAGTGTACGAAATTGAACAGCTGGAGTTTACAGGGAAGGACACTTCTTTTTATGTTTTTTTTCAGGAAGGACGATGTGCAGTCAGAGCAAATCAGCAGCACGCTTATTAGTACAAGAAGAAGCTAAACAAATGAGTAAAAAAGGTGTGGTGAGATCCCCCAGCAATTAGATTTTCAATGGAATTTGCGGGTAGGAGCCCTCATCCTTTGCCGACTCGGCAACTTACCCTCATTTTCTTCCAATCAATCGGCCTTCCCATGGAGACCGGGGTTCTCGCAAATGTCGATAGAAGCCAAGCTGTGCCATCAATAGCCAAACCAAGGTGACAAGTTCTCCTCCTTTACTCAGTTGTTGAGCATAATTGTAAGGTCGGCAATGGATCGCCGCATACCCCAGCAATTCCACCCACACTTCACTCATGATCTTCCACCTCTTTTCCTCCTCAATACTCTGCAATACCCTAGCGAGAGCACACGCATCCGTAAGCACAGATTCGATTACCATTCCTTTCTCTTCATATAATCTCTGTTCTGCATCAAAAGGGAGGAGACTTTGGCACGCACTTTCCTTCGTTATCTTCGTTTTGCTCCCATCAGAGAGATTTTTGCTGATGAAGTTGTCCATCTCATCACGAGTGTACTGGAACCTTATTTCGCCATACCCACCCACTGCAGACATCAAATCAGGTTGTTTGATCATAAGATGAACCATATAATCCGACAAGACCTTACTGTTTCCACGATCAATGTTACAGTTGGTACTTTCATCAGTGTCAGTATTGTAACAGAGCTCGGTGGCAACGTGCCACAGTAAAAGGCTCTCATCATAATCAACGTCACTGACGAATGGAAGCAAGTTTGTGCAATCTTGCTGTGTTTCAGAATGCTCCAGAGCCCATTGACCTCGAGCAGCACATAGGTACTTCCAGCCTTCAAAACTATTTAAAGCCAACGACTTCCGTATCAGCTCCTTAATTATCAGTTCACCTAATTCGTCGCTGTATGGTTTTCGGTGTCCAGACTTCAACTCATCAAACAATTCCTTGAGAGAGATGCAATCTAGGAGTTTCTCAATCCATTTTGGCCACCTTCTCAGCTGAGAATCTATCAAATTGTACTGGAAGATTGATCTAGACCACCTAGCATGTAGTATATGCAATGCAAATGGTGACCTTTCGGATTTGAATTTGAGGAGGAACTTCATGAAGGTGCTTCCTATAGGATGTTTTTCAAATCTCCCTATATGTGCAATTGTCCAGTCAGAGCAAATGAGCCTACCAAGAGCTACAAATTCCAGGCCAACAGCTCCAAGGAGCAAGGTGTATGTAATCCGTACATCATATTCGTGAAAACCATGCTTGTTCAGGACATAGAAAAGTGCAAAAGCAGTAACGACGGAACCAATTGAGATAGCTCGGAAAAGGTACCCTGTTGGACAGTGAACCAGGGCAGCCTTGGTATAAAGAACATCATAAAAGAAGTTGAGCTCAGCCTCAATAACCCGAAAAGCATCCGCTGCGGTTATCATCCTGAAAAAATCGATGCTACTGTCCATTTGACCGAAGAAGGGGAGTTCCACAAGGATGCCTTTGAAGGTTGTGAAGTAAAAAAATGCGTATCTTATCACTTCTCTGTCCTCCAAATCGGTTTTATTTTGCTCTCCAGCATCTCGGGATTCGATATTGAGCAACCGCATAACATCAATAGATGGGAGCAGGGAACCACGGAATTTACTGAAGCTGGCAAGATACAGAGCACGTGTTCGCTCTATATATTTTATGGTTCCTCCAATAAACACGAGGATGGTGGGGACAATTAGCTTGTTGCTGGGGAGGGATTGGTAAAGCACATAGCATGCGGTGCCTAGCTGGAATAAGAGATTAAGCAAGTGCCTCCGCCACAGCTCATTATCCTCGAGCGCAAAAGCGGTTATGGTGTCGGATCCTCCGAGGTGTAGCAGCAGAAATGGAGCCCAAAATGCCAAAAGGTCGCCATATGCATCGGCCTTGGAATCTGAAGTACCACCAATGATTTGGACTTTGGCAATGAGTCCAAAGGCATAGACAGCGACTGAGTCGGCAACCAAGTAAGCTGACCACATTAGAGTCGCGAACCACCAGTTTGACCACCTCTTTCGCATGGGTGCAAAAAAGATGAGAAAGACTTGCAGAGATAGGCTTGTAAGGATAGCCCCTCGGAGATTGAGTTTCATCCATAAATTCTTGGCCTCTGCAATAATTTTCGTATTTCCCATTCGATCCTCACTCTCTCCCCAGTTCCTGGAAGGAAATCTTTTAGTCAGCATGAGTATTACCTCCTAAGGAAGCACGGACACTCTCCATAGGATTTCGTGTCAGTGTCGGACGCGCGTCCACGCGCAACCGGCACGTGGTCAACATGTGTCAGACATCCAACATGTGGTCAATGCTCCGGACACGCTAGCGACACGCAAGTTTAGCATCCTGACACGGCCGGGTCAATTTTAAACATTTCCAATAAATTAGGGATCAAAATGTTAATTCATTATGGGTTCTTTTTTTAATTATTGATTTATTTGTGGATTCGAATCAAACTAATTTAATTGAAATAACCATAAGAGTGATAATTTATCATGTATATATAAAAACATACATTTGATATACGATGTGTCCCAACGTGTCGTAATTCTCTATTTTTGAGAAATGACGTGTCAATTGTTGTGTCGTGTCGTGTGTCGATTCTACTTAGAGTATTACAATAAGGCAACAATGATTGAATAGATATGCAAGCCGGAGAATATAATAACAGAAAAGGTGACTATTGAGGGCAAAGAGTCGATAATACCTTGAAATTTATTTACGATCCGATGGGGATGGACGTCTTGCTTCCTGCTTTTTTTTTTTTGGTCAAAAAGTAAAATGTTTCATTAATTAACTAACAAAAGGATAACATAAGTTATGGGTTTCTGAACATAAAAGATCTCGTAGAGATAATGGCGGTGTTGCAAGCCAATCTTGCGGTAGGGCTTTCTTGCGATGTGTTTTGGCTAAGAAATCTGCCACTTGATTTGATTCGCGTGGGTTGTAGACAAGCTCTACAGCTTTTAACCGAGATAGCTTTTGTTTGCATTCTTCAAGGATGGCCTGAATCTCCCACGGGCCCGGAGTCTGGCCCATTATGATGTCCACCAAAGATAAGCTGTCAGAACTCACCACCACGTGCAGATCAACACTTCTCTGCAGATCAGTTCTGCTTTTCCACAGATCAGTTTCATCTTCTAAGTACAATAGAGCCACATGCAAAGCTAGGGTTTCGACTTCCATCACCGAGGAGGCTACCACACTTTTAGCAAAACCACCCACAACTCTCCCAGTAGAATCTCGGCAGATCCCGGCAACGGCACCCACCCTCTCGCCTTCGACGATTGACCCGTCGATGTTTAGTTTTAATCCGCCGGTCGCTGGAGGAGTCCACGAAACAGGTGAGTTCCCCTTTCGCTTTTCTCTGTTGATCACTTTGGGGTTCCAACGCTTGAAGTTTTTGTCTAAGGCACATGCTTCGTCAACTATCAAGCTTGGATCTGGACTTCGATTCTGAAAGATGACTCTGTTTCGAGCCAACCAAATTTTCCACAATACCCCGGCGACCAGCTCAGGTGACGGTAAGTCTGTATTTTGTAGCAAAATTTCCAACAGCCACCTATCGATTCTAGTAATTCCGTAGCGAGAGATCGTATTTGCGGTCGGTAGTCCGACCAAACCGCTTTTGTCCAGTCGCAAAGTAAGAAGAGATGCTCCACTCGACTCGGGGTTTGGCACGCAAACAGGGGCAAAGGGGATCTCGACGTTATTGTTCTCTTGCACAGGTTCTCACGAGTTGGTAAGCTATTCTGGCACACACTCCAAATGAAGTGCTTGATTTTTGGCATGGTATTGAGGTTCCAGATTTTCTGCCATATGGATTTGGGAAATTGATACGAGGAGGAGGCCTGGTTGTGATTCTGCTGATATTCTGATGGTTGCATTTTGTGATAGGAGTCTTTTACAGTGTATTTCCCTATTTTATTCCCTGCCCACACTAACACATCTTCTTTGGGAGTAGAGCTCAGCGGTATAGCCGTGATTTCCTCTACTATATGCTCGCTGAAAAGAGAATTTAGTTTCTGTTCATCCCAACATTGCTTTCCCTGAACGAACAATTCTTCGACTCTTTGGGGATCTTCTGAATTAGCTGGTCCTCCGATCAAACCCTGGGGTAACCACCTATCTTCATGAATTCTGATTGATTTCCCATTGCCAATGACCCATCTGATTGATGGATAGATGGTGTCTCTCCCCATTAACAGACTTTGCCATCCCCACGATGGTCGGGAGCCTTTGTTAGCGTTCCAAAAGTTAGCTCTAGGAAAATAGAGTCCTTTAATGAGTTGACTCCATAGGGCTGAGGGGGATTGGACTAGTCTCCAGGCTTGCTTCCCCAACATGGCTTTGTTGAATGTAATGAGATCCCTGAATCCGAGGCCACCCTCCGTTTTCCTTAACTTGAGTACCTTCCAGTTCTTCCAATGAATGCCCGTCTTTGATCCATTCTGTTTCCACCAAAACGAAGCTATTTTTTGTTCAATCGCTCTACAAATGGAGAGGGGAATCTTAAAAATTGACATCGCATATTGAGGTATAGCTTGCACTACGGATTTTATCAAAGTCTCCTTTCCCGCCCTTGAAATAAGCTTTTCCTTCCAACCCTCTAATTTCATGTTGACCCTAGCCAGTATCCAGGCAAACATTTGCTTCTTTGAGGTCCCCCAATCAGAAGGAATGCCTAGGTACTTCCCAGTCTTTTCTATCACAGGAACTCTCAACTCCTTGGCCATGTTTTTCTTCAGATCAGGTGGGCAGCCATTGCTAAAATAAATCCCTGACTTGTTCAAGTTTATTGCTTGGCCGGTTGCAAAACAATATTGATTCAAAACCCCTGCTAGATTCTGACATTCACTAATTTTCCCGTCTAAGAAAAATATGGCATCATCAGCGAACAGTAGATGCGAGAGTGTTGGACAAAAGCTGTTCAATTTAATTCCTTTTATGCTGCCGTCTTCCAGAGCTTTATGCAAAAGATGGGACAAGACATTAGCCATAATGATAAAAAGATAGGGGGAGAGTGGGTCACCTTGTCTAATGCCTCGAGATGGTTGAAAGTACTCTTGAGGTTCCCCATTAACTTTCACACTGAAAGTGATGGAGGAGACGCAATTCATAACCATAGTCACCCATTTCTCATTGAAACCCATTTTTAGCATGCAAGCCCCCAGAAAATCCCATTCCACTCTATCGTAAGCCTTTTGCATATCAAGTTTTAGAACCGCCTGGAATTTTTTCTTTCTCTTCCTGATTCTCAATTGGTGCAAAACCTCCTGTACAATCAGTATATTGTCCTGGATTTGGCGTCCACTGATGAACGCGCTTTGCTCCATGGTAATGATTCCAGGGAGCCAAGGTTTCAATCGATTTGCCAGCACTTTGGAAATGATTTTATAGCTGACGTTGCAGAGGCTTATGGGTCTATACTGACTCATGTTTTCTGGGTTTGGGACTTTGGGGATCAAAGTGATGAGAGTTTTGTTGATCTTTGGGTCAAGCGAGCCCGAGTCAAAGAAGTTCTGGACCATTTGGAAGATGTCATACTGAATGAGCTCCCAGTGATGTTGGTAGAACTGGCCATTTAGTCCGTCAGGTCCTGGGGCTTTTGTTGGGGCTATTTGAAAAACAGCGTTCCTCACCTCCTCCATCGTCATTGGTGCCAGTAAAGCCCCATTCATACTCTCCTCAACTATGCATGGGCATTGATCCAACACTGGTTGGAAATTCCTTGATCCCGTGGTGGAATAAAGGGAGCGATAGTACTCGGTTATATGCTTTTTCAGTACTGTCTCATCTCGACTCCACGTGGATTCGTCAATTTTCAGCATAGATATTTTATTTCTTTGTCTCCTTTGCACCGTTGTGGCATGAAAAAACTTGGTATTTCTATCTCCCCAATTCAGCCAGTTGATGCGAGATCTTAATCCCCAATACAGTTCCTCCTGCCTCCATAGCTTTTCGATTTTCCCCTTGACAGCCTGAATTTTGTCTTTGGTAGATACCCCCGATCTCCTATTTGTGAGTGCCACTAGCTGTTTTTTTAGATCTTCAATTTGGCGATATGCATTGGAAAACTTTTGACGACTCCATGTAGATAGGGCCTTGGTAACTTTTTCTAGTTTAGCTGCAACTTCCCCCTGCTGGGAGTGTGTGTCTAGCCAGGCTTTGGTAACAATTTTATCATATTCTGTATCATCCACCCAATAAGCTTCAAATTTGAACTCTTTTTTCCGTGCTTCATAATTTGGGTAGAGCGAAAGAAGGATTGGACAATGATCGGAGCCAATGGCCGGTAGTGCAAAAGCTTCCGCAGTTGGGAACGAAACCCTCCAATCTAAGTTACTGAGCACTCGGTCGAGCCTTTTTTTTACCAAGTTAACCCCCTCTCTATTGTTGGACCATGTAAACGCACATCCCTTACTTTCAATGTCCAAAAGTGAGCAGTCATATAGAAAATCTCGAAAAGCAACTTGTCTGTAGTAATCCGCTTCTCTCTTTCCCTCTTTCTCCCAATTGTATAGAACTTCGTTGAAATCACCCAGGCAAACCCAAGGAAGGTGGTTGGAGTAATGTATGGTTCTCATATGTTGCCATAGGTGCAATCTCTCCTGGAAATTAGTAGAAGCATGCAGAAAAGTGAGTCTCATGGCTGTCCCGCTTCTCGGTTCTTTGCAAATTACGTCAATAAACTCAGCCGAGCTGGCAACTACGTTTGGGGAAACCTCATCATTCCAAAAGAGTGCTAAGCCCCCGGCGATACCTCTCGGTTCCACCACCTTCGAATGCTGAAAATCGAGTCGCCTACGAATACTATCCACCATCATCTCTTTATTTTTAGTTTCCATCAAAAACACCATAACGGGCCTTTCTTGAGCCACAATGGCTCGCAGTGACTGGAATGTCAGGGGTGTGCCCAACCCCTGACAATTCCAGCTCAATAGCTTCATTTAATCCCTGGTGGCTTATTAGGGCTAGCCACCACAGCCCACTCACGCCTGTCTTCAGCCATATGAATAGGGGTTTCCAGCAAGAAAGATTCGTCTAGAGACTTGGAGCTTGTGCTACCCAATCCATATGGGTTGTACCTCCTTAGTTTCTTGGTAGGAGGGGTTTTTTTCCCCGCTTTACCTTTCTTCCGCCACCCTTCTTGTACATCCATGCCTACCTCCTCTCTTGGGGAGTCCAGTAAAAATAGCTGAGTCTGCTTTCCTGAATGTTGAGTGATTTCCAGAGTAAGGGTTAAACCGGGTGCACTCTCATAGGGTATGTCGACACTGCTCTTTCTTTTTGTTGAGATATCTATTGGTAGGTGGTCATGAAGTGGAGTTTCGGGGGTCATTTCCTCCTCCTCCATGATAGGTAGCTGGTCCCCATAGAATAACTCCCAATACGGGCTGTATTCCCTGACTTCTGCCTTTAGCCATTGTCCAAATTTGCCTTTAATGTTTTTCTCCAATCCAGATTCTTCGTATGGCACGATTTTGCAATAGGTAGCATAATGGCCTATCCTTCCGCAGGAATAGCAAAAGTGAGGTAGACGTTCGTATTTGAAGTCCACCCAAATCTTTTTTCCCCCCACATTGATAAATGTTCCTGACTTCAAGGGTGCAGCCAACTCCTTTTCCACCCTTGCTTTTCCCAAGATGAGTGAGCCATTTGTTTTTGCATCTAGTCTAACTTCCTGCACTGTTCCCACTTTTGATGCCATAGATTTAATGATATCTTCTGTTACTCTTTCAACAGGGATCCCAAGGAAGTGGACCCAAAAGGCACAACGGGAAAAGTCGTAACAATGCACTGGGGTATTTGGTTCCCATTGCTTAAGGATCAATAAGTTGCTGGAAAAAGACCAAGGTCCCGCCTCCAAGACCCTTTTCTTCTCTGCTTCTGAATTGAAGATAAAGGAGAAGAAGCCTGGCTCAATTTGGCCACAGGTTACTGTGTCAGATCTCCATGCCCTCTTCATAGTGCTTTGAAAGGCTTGGAAGTTGACGTTGGGCTTTGAGTAGAGCTTCCCAAACAAGGTGAGTCGACATTCTTTCAGCTTATCCTCTGGAATTTCTTCATCTACCTCCACTACATCATCCTCTGACCAGAGGTCACCCAGCCTCTTAATGAGAGCTGCCACTCTTAGCTCATTCTCAGAAATTCTTTCCATTTGAACAGCAAATCAGCAGAGAAGTATAGCAAAACCACCTACTACCAGTACCTTACTACGAGACCTCTTGGGAATCTCCCCAATCAACTAGTGTCGAGCAATGCGTGGTTATAAAGGAGTTAGAAGCGACAGGACTTAAGCTGAGGTCAGTATTGAGCAGGAAGACTTGGCGAGAAACTTGTGGAATGTATATTATAAGCATGAAAACCAGAGCGCTTGGGCTCTTGTTACTGATGTACATTCTATTCTTTATCAAACTTTGGCCTTTCTTCTTTATCTTTAACCTCTCTTCTCATTCAAGCATTGTCATCGCACCCATCATTCTCCAGCATCCTTGATGATCTACCAGTTTGAAGTCGAGATCAAGAGAGAGAGAGGGAGTTCTTTTGTCATCTGGTGCTTCTTGCCTTCGAGCTTTAATCCTGTTCGATTCCAATTTTAGCTTTAGCCTCATTCACATTTCTCTCTTTTTCATTGTCTTGCAGGTTCTATTCTTTCTTGA